TTTGTATATTTGGTAGTTCAAATTGTACTCTATCTCTATTAGTCTAGTCTTGGAGCCCAAGCTTTGTAATCTATATAAATAGCCCTTGAGGCCCCGATCAATACAACAATTACTTCTCTAATATCTCAATCTATCACGCCCCCCTCCGACGACCCCGACAGCTCGGTGCACTCGACCTTGCTCCGCCGCGTCGTCTTCACGCGCACTTGTATCCCCCACGACACGACGCGCCTGCACACCCTTTCCACCACGTCCCTCCCGCGGCGGTGCCACCTGCCGCTCTCCAGGGCGCCGCGCAGCTCCGAGGCCACCTCCGCCATCGCTGGCCGGCGCTCCACGCTCTCCGACACGCACCGCGCTGCCACGGACAGGACCCTGGCGATCGCGGCCTCGGCGTCGGTGCCGGGACGGGGAGCGGCCACCCTCCCGTCGAACACCTGGCGCGCCAGCCCGGCGCCGATCAGCGGCAGCGCCCACGCGACGATGGACGACGGGGAGGCGTTCACGTCCATCACCTTGCGCCCGCTGATGAGCTCAAGGAGCACCACGCCGAAGCTGAACACGTCGCTCTCGGGCCCCAGCCGGCCCGGCTCCGTGTAGCTCGGGTCCAGGTACCCCATCGTGCCCGCCGGCGCCGGCCTCGGCGCGCCCGCGGCCGCGACCCTGACCGCGAGGCTGAAGTCGGCGAGGCGGGCGCGGCCGTCGCGGCCGAGCAGGACGTTGGCCGTCTTGACGTCCCGGTGTATGACGCGGGGCGCGGCGCCGTGCAGCGCGCGCATGGCCCGCGCCACGTCGAGCGCGATCTCCACGCGGCGCGGCCACGGCGGCGGCCTCGGGGACCGGTGCAGCAGGTCGTGCAGCGAGCCGTTGGGCATGAACTCCATGACGAGAAGCGGCGACCGCCCCGCTGCTACCGCGCCGACGAGGCTCACGACGCCCGGGTGGTGGCACGCGGCCGTGAGCACGGCGATCTCGTTGGCGAGCTTGGCCTCCCCCTGCGGGTGCGACGCCTTCTTGACGGCGACGGTGAGGAGCCTCCTGCCGTGGCCAGCGCCGCCCCTGAGCCTGGCCCTGTAGACGCAGCCGTGGCTGCCCTTGCCGACGACGTTCTTGGCCGCGAAGCCGCCGGTCGCCGCCTCGATCTCATGGTAGGAAAACTCCTTCATGCTCTCGGCGTGTTGCTACCTGCCTGCCTACTGACTGACCTACGGTCGGGTTCTTGGTGGTGCAATGGCAGTGCCGTGTGTGAGCGGAGTGCAAGCAATGCTCGCTGGCTGCTCGCAAAGCAGTAGGAGTAGTAGTAGCAACTAGGCACGGAATAAAGGGAAAAAGAAGAGGCGAGGAAAGGTAAAGGCAATGGATCAAAGGTGGTAAAGGTTGGTGATTACGTGTTTTTTTAGAGGGAGGGAGGGGACGGATTTTGGAGAGGGATGATGATGCTTTTGCTTGGTCTCCTAAAGGATGATGAAATTTGTCTTGGTAACAAGGAGAAAACAAAACAACAGACCAAGAAAGCAAATATGGATTACTTGCTGTCTCTGCCTCTTCCTCACCCTCCCCTCTTGTATCTACTGCACCGTCTAAATAAATAAAAGATAGAAAAAGGCAGTGACACGGCGGGTCGTGGTTCGGGTCGTCGAGGAGTGGTTGCGATGGGTACAAGATCCTCGCAGCAACACAACAAAATCAGCAGCAGAGGATGTCTATTGTCAGCGCCGAATGTGGGCGGGCGGGCGGTCCGGTTTTCATGGCACGGATACATATATATACCCTTGTTGGGGCGACGCCCCCACCTGATCACGCCGTGACGGGGGAAGAACTGATTGACTGACTAGCTTTAGGTTTGTTTGGTTGGTTGTTGTGATATTCTTCCTACGTAGCCACCCAAACCTCAATCACCATGTACTACAAACAGAGGACCAGACTGTTTTGTTCCAGGTCAAATAATCGTGACATGTTGGCACCCACAAAAAGGCGTAGTGCTTAGGCCAACTCCACCGCGCCGACCCATTTCATCCGCATGCGTCCGTTTGAGCCGCGGCGGACAGAAAAGTCGGCCCAACGTGCCGACCCAGACAGACACGCATATGCTTTTTGTCCGCCCACCGACCAATTCTCGGCCCCTTTTTTATTATTACCAAGCAAATGTCTTAAGGCCAACTCCACCGCACGACCCCAAACGGACGTTCGGTTTGGCCGGATTTTGTCCCTTTGGGGCGGCGATGGGTTCGCCCGTGTCCGGTCATGTCCGTTGGGTCGTGCGTGCGCCCATCGCGCGGCCGCATCCCAAATCACGTTCGCGTTGGACATGATTTAAAAAAAAGAAAAACGTAAATAAAATGGCTAAAAAGTAAATAAATGCAGTTTAAAAAACATAAAATTTAGTTAGGGGTCACGACCACAAAATGACCCAGTTTAGCAGTTCACTTAACGGCCCAGTGCCATAATTAACATAAAAAGAAAATAAAAAACGCCGCCGCGCGCTCCTGCCGCGCCCGTCGATGCCATGGCCCTCGCCGTCTTCAGTGGCCGCCGGTGTCGTCGTCGTCGCTGACGAGGTCGACGTAGGCCGGCGGCATCCAGAGGTGGGACGGCGACGCGTGGTACACGGAGGCGGCCTGGAAGGCCGGAGGTGCCTGCACCACCTCCTCCCATGGCGAGGCCTCCCGCTCCAGTGACCGCGGCGGCGTGGGGCACCAGTTCACGCCCCCCACGGCGTCGGCCACGTCCGGAACCGTGCACGACCAGCTCCACCGCTGGCCTACCAGGCCCGGGTGAAACGCGGCGACGGGCTCCTCCTCTAGCACCTCCTCCCTCCTCTCCTCCTCCTTGACGGCCACCATCTCCAGCTCGGGGAAGGCGACGTCGCCGGCGGCAGAGAGTGCCAGCGCCTCCTCCAAGCCGTCCCATTGGCGCTCGTCGTGCATGTTCATGGAGTCCTCCATGACACGCTGCATGAGCCGGGCCTCCTCCTCCACTGTCATGCGAGGAGGTGGAGGTGGTGATGGAGAAGGGGACGACGACGGCATGGGCGTGAGGCCGCGCACCCACGTACGCCCGCGCACCTCTCGACGTGATCGCCGCGGCCCCGACACTGTGCCGGCGAAGTAGGACGCGTGCCGCACGTCGTGCTCATCTTGGAGACACGTGTCCCAGAGCACGAAATCGAGGGTGCACCTGTCGTCGTAGTAGAGGTCGTCGGGGAGGAGGCGGCGGCGGCGCTCGATCTCATCGCGGCGCACACGGCCGCCATCGGCACCGGCGGGATCGGGACCCGGTCGACGCTGAGGTGCCAGTTGTTGGGGAGGTGGACGTCGCTCTACGGGACCGGTGTCCTCGTCTCCCAGTACCGCCGGCACATGTCGGCGCTGAGGTACTGCCGGTCGCGCTCGCCGGTGGGCCTAGGGGTGATGGTGAAGGGGGCCGGTGCAGGGGATCGATGGGAGGAGTGCGGCGGTGACGCGGGCTCCTCCTTCTTCACGGAGCTGCGGCGGCGGCCCGGGGAGGAGCCGGCCTCGCGGTCATGCTTCCTCTTGCGGCCGCAGTTCCACAGGCCCATGGCTGCGAGGCGGCCGGTCGGCGAGTTCGAGGCCTAGGGTTTGGAGGTGTCGGGTTTCGAGGAGGCCGCGGGATGGAGTGGGGAGTGTGGACGACGACCGGTCCACGGCTTCCGCATTTAAGTACAACCGCGACGTTTCCCTAGGCGGATGACAGGCGGGCCCGGCCGCGTGTGCGCATTGATGTGGGTGGGTGGAAGGTAGGTGGCCGCCTGCCACGCGGCCTTGACGCGGACGAGTGCGCGTCCGTTTGTTGTTCGTCGCGACCCAAAACTGGCGCATGTTTGCGCTCGAGATGGGTCGGCCTGGACACAAAACGGACAGGATGAATCCGGGCCGTCGCACGCTGGGCCGATCGGTTTGTCCCTTTTACCCCAAACGGACGGGGCTAGACAGAATTGGGTCGCATGGTGGAGTCGGCCTAATACATAATCACTATTGTAAAGGATCTCATCTATTACCGGTTTCACGGTTCATACCATAAAAATCAAAAATCTCTCTAGCTTTCCGTACTATGTGATAAAATTCATTCATAAGAACAAGGGTGTCTATATTTTTAGCTCTAGAATCTTTTATAACAGGTAATTCATAGAACAATCTTTGCATGGTAGGATGAATACGGATAAATCTACTTTCAAGTTTCGGAAATAGTGCTAAAATAGCTTCCGCATATGTTTTAGTTCTTTTAAGTACAGGAGCATCATCACAAGTCAAGGTTCCAACACAATTAAAGAATTCTTGGATGGCTTCTTTTCCCATAATATTCCCTTGTCCCAAAACAAAAGTTTTATCATCTAGATTATCAAAACGCCCAATTTTTTGAGTTCTGCCATCATCTGTTTCTGCCATACCAAAATCACTCGTGATGATAGGTTCAAAGCAAGCAAAAGATTGAACGAGAAAAAGACAAACGAAAAGAGGGCAAATAAAAGGCAAATGTTTTTGTGCTTTTCGCAAAAAAACGTTTTAGAAGTTGGGGAGATGAAAACGAGAGGCAAATGGCAAATAATGTAAATTGCAAGGAGATGAGATTTGTGATTGGGTACCTGATAGATGTTGATGATGTCTCCCCGTCAACGGCACCAGAATTTCTTCCTGATTGCTTGTATGTGCGTTGGTATTTCCCCAAAGAGGAGAGGATGCTGCTGCACAACAATGGTAAATATTCCCCTCAGTTATGAAACCAAGGTTATCAATTCAGTAGGAGAACCAAGCAACACTATGTAAATAGTGCACACAAATAACAAATACTTGCAACCCAACACGTAAGAGGGGTTGTCAATCCCTCCTCGGTATTGAGATAGATTAAATTGTATGAGATTGGATAAATAGATCTGACAAAAGCACAAAATAAAATAAATAAAGAAAAAAAATGCAGCAAGGTATTTTTGGGTTTTTGGAATAATAGATCTTAAAACAATATGATAGAAAATAGACTCGGGGGCCAAAAATTTCACTAGTGGCTTCTCTCGAGAAAATGGCATACAGTGGGTAAACAAATTACTGTTGGGCAATTGATATACGAACAAATAATTATGATGATATCCAAGGCAATGATGATGTATATAGGCATCACATCCAAGATTAGTAGACCGAAACGATTCTGCATCTACTACTATTACTCCACACATCGATCGCTATCCAGCATACATATAGTGTATTAAGTTCATGGAGAAATGGAGTAATGCAATAAAAATGATGACATGATGTAGACAAGATCTATTCATGTAGGAATAGACCGCATCTTTTCATCCTTAATGGCAATGATACATGCACGTCACTTCTCCTTCTGTCACTGAGATTGAGCACTGCAAAATTGAACCCATCACAAAGCACCTCTTCCCATTGCAAGAAAAAAGCAATCTAGTTGGCCTGACCAAACCAAAGTTTCGGAGAAGAAATACGAGGCTATAATAATCATGCATATAAGAGATCAAAGAAGACTCAAATAATATTCATAGATAAAATTGATCATAAACTCGCAACTCATCCGATCCCAACAAACACACCGCAAAAAGTCATTACATCAAATAGATCTTCAAGAACATCGAGGAGAACATTGTATTGAGAATCAAAAAAGATATAAGAATAGATCTAGCTACTGCCTATGGACTCGTAGGTCTATGGTTAACTACTCACTCATCATCGGAGGAGCACCAATGAGGATGATGAACCCCTCCGTGATCGTGTTCCCCTCCAGCAAGGTGCCGGAATAGGGCTCTAGATTGGATGTTGTGGTTCTTGAACTTGCGGCGGCTGGAATTGTGTGTCGTTGAATCCCCTAGGGTTTCTGGAATATTTGGGTATTTATAGAGCTGAGAGGCGGTGGAAAGGACTCCTGTGGGCCCCACTACCCACCAGGGCGCGCCTGGGGCCTCTGGCGCGCCCTGGTGCCTTGTGGGCCCCATGGGCCTCCCCTCTGGCACTTTTTTGGCTCCCAAGTTGTCTTCTGGGCAGAAAAAAATCTCCAAAAAATTTCGCCGTGTTTGGACTCTGTTTGGTATGGATATTCCGCGAAGTAAAAAACAAGCAAAAAACAGCGACTGACACTTGGCACTATGTCAATAGGTTAGTCCCAAAAAATAATTTGAAGTTGCTATAAAATGAAT